CAACCAGCCGAGGAGGCAAACTAGGATGGTAACACTTGGTTTGTGCTCTGCTGCTGTTGTTAAAGACCTCAGAGGTTGTTGAAAACAGAGATTACATTAGAGGCAAGAACGTTTGTGAGTAATGTTAACTGGGAACGATCACTGAATGATCTTTGTTGTTGCCCCTTTTGAATCTGTTAAATATCCACCCAGTGTTTGGGAGAGTAAATTTAGTTGTGAAGATCACTTTTTGAATGTAATCTTTGTGTTCTAGAGTTTGTCCTTCTGAGGAGGAGTTTTGCGTCAAATTAGTAGATAACTGTACTATTTTTGTTTACATAAAATTTTGCATAAAAAGGACAATTCCTTATTTAATTATAGCCTGTTTTGAGCAGGTGAAATCCTTGCATTTCAGTTAATTAAATCTGTTAATTCAGTTGATCCGTGCTTTATAGAAATAAAGTTGGTATGATATGGTAAATAACTTACTCTTCTCATTAAAGTATAGGCGTTTTCATTTTGGTAACGTCCTCCCTGTGTTTCTCTGTTATGTGCCCTTTAATTTCAAATAAAACAATTATTGATTTTCCTACTGTCAAGTTTTAGGTTACCCCCTCCTCTCCACACACAATCCACCAGTGCTAGGGTTGTAACATCTTCCCTAGGGTTGCCAGCAATTTCTAGGGGGCGGCCAGGGCCACACCTGGCCACCCCTTGGGGACGCCACTGTATTTACCAGAAATCAAAAAATCTGAAACTTTACTGTCCTTGTTCAAACAAATTAGCAATCTCATTTCAGTACAACATAAAACAAAACTTGGGTCATTTTAAACTACAACACAAAGCCAAATTCAAGGGTTAAAAACAGAAGAAAAAAAAACATGCAAAGGCATCTTCGTATGCATAAAAGAACATATATAGTCAAACTGTTTTATTATTCTACAACAGCTCAACAATGATTATTGTTTATTTAATTGAATAAGTTTTCATATGTCATTGAGTATTCCAACAGCATTAAAATATGTGACATTTGTTTTGGCTTTTATTGCCCTGTAGCACCCTCCTGAGGATATTGGTTGTACCAGGAGCTCTATAGCTCTTCTAGGGTAGAGAGAAAACAGCCAATACTCTTCTGCACTTTTTTGATGACTAGTACATTAAAACCACCTATGTTGCAATAGAAGGAGACCAGCAACTCCTGGGACAGGTTGATTTTAATGACCCTCAAAAATGTTCCAAGTGACTCAGTCTCAGATGATTATTGATCCCTCGAGAAAGGTTCCTCTGGGAAATTCTGTGGATCAATAAATCTATTCTATCTCAGACATACTACCTCTCGACCAGGGGAGCTGTATTTACCACGCAGTGGGAACAACGGGGTAAATAAAACTAGGGTATGGTTCTTGTAGTTGAAACCCACCAAATATACCCCAACATGGCCTTTTCCCTGCTAAAGACTTTTAATTAAAAAAAAACAGTTTAAAAATCTCAAACCACTTTGAAGCACGCTGAAAAACATTTGACAAGTGCTTCCAAGTTTAGGAGTCAAGGTTGATATAAGTAGGGCATAAACTTTCAGAAATTGCCTTTCTGGCAGACTCCTAAAAATGAGAAAAGGCAGGGTGGGTGGTTGGACCCAACTCAAAGAATAAGCTAACAATAAGTGCCACATGGTTTAAGGTAAGTGTGCAATGTTTGACAGTCATTGGCAGCAGGCTGGTATAAGATAAGCTATTGACCTAGTTTGCCTCTGCTTTTATTTGAGCTCCTCTACCTTCAGATGAGATGGACTGTGTTTCAGACAGCTACATGACAACTTCACTTAAGAAAGAAAGAAAGAAAGAAAGAAAGAAAGAAAGAAAATTATCTTTGATATAGTGTCTCTGAAAATGAAAATCACAAGACAAAAGCAAATCATTTAAATATAAAAAATATATTTTTTTAAATGATTAAAAACATGTTTAAGATAAATACATTTTTAAAATGTGATAAAAAATGCAAGGAAATAGTGAGAAAATTTAAAGGAAACAGGGAAATCAGTGGATCTCAGAAAGAGCAGAATAAGAAGAAGGTGGTGATGAAGGTCACACCAAAGCCAGCCTGAACAGGTAAGTTTCAGCTGTTTTTTAAAGGAGACCACTGAGTCCACTGATCTCAGGCTCAGGGGGAGAGAGTTCCAGAGTCTGTGGGCCACAGCAGCAAATGATCTGTCACCTTTGGTCTTTAGCCTGGTGTGCTGCACAACCAGTAGGCTTTGGTTACTGGACCTCAGGGACCTGCTGGGGGTGTAGGGACTAAGAAGATCACCAATGTAAGATGGTGCTTGTCCATGTAAGGCCCTATAGACCAGAACCAGGATCTTGAAATGAACCCTGAAGTAGGGCTGGGCGATATGACGATTTTAGACCGTTTTACGATCTACACATCTGACGGACTGTCATTTTTGAGAGACCTTTTTATCACGATTCACATCTCTGCTGTTGAATTTCTGCATCTGAATGAAAAGGGAACTTACCCCAGGCGAATGACACGCCTTTGTTTGACCTTAACCAATCAGAGTGAGTCATAGTAATATATTAGTGCCCCGCTTGTTTTCGCCTGTGTGTGAACAAACATGGCTTCGGCCGTGGCTGAGAGCGACAACGAGGTTTTCGTTCCGAAGAGGAACGCAGGGTTTCCTTAGCGTGCGGCGCTAACAACTTAGCGACGTGACATGTTGCGGAGAAAGCGTAAAAAAACGTTGGACGCTTCTTCTGAAGCAGGAAAATAACACCGCTTCTTAAGCAGAGCACGACGTCGCCTCGGCTCATTCACCCTCTGCCGAGCCGGACTGAGCTCGGTCACTGGGTCGTTGGAGCTGCCCCGTGACTGCCTGATGGAAAACCAGCGGGTTTCATCAGACTCGTAAAGTTTTTGTTTTTGCTGGGGACCCCTGTATTTTACCGCTCCCTCCTGCAGTCTTCCCCTATTAACATTTAAAATGATTCTGTAAATTCTGTGTAGCAATAGAAACAATCTCTGCCTCTGCCAGCTGCAGTAAATGTAGTTTCCAAATAATAAGAGGTGCATTCATCTGTGTATCTCCTTTGATCCGCATTAGTGATATTTTCAGCACCAGAACAGTGAAGCAAAGAAAGATTCCTGAGTTTGTTAGTCATTTTATTTATTAGGTGCATCTAACCTGTTCTATTTTTCTCTGAAATGAGATCAAATCAGTGCTTCTATGGGTTGTCTCCAATCTGCACTGGAAATTTTTACTTTATTTAGAGACTTGTTGCAGAAAATATTCAGAATGCGCAGTTTTTTGCTACCACAAGCGATCTCTGGTCCAGCCGCACATCAGAGCCGTATTTGAGCTTAACTATCCACTACATGAGCAACTGGGAGCTACATAGTATTTTGAACAAGTTAATGTTTGCACAATACGTTTGCAATTGACATGTTTGCACTTTAAATATGTTAACGATTTTAATTTATGTTAAGTTACTTGAAAAACGAGAAAAACTGATTTTTGTAATTGTTTCTCTCAGGGCTTTTATCATCTCTGGTGTGAGTTTAAAATATAAGTGTGTTAGCACTGTGTTGATTATCCCTAATATGAATAAATGTTTATTTATTCAATGTTTCTCTTCTTTAATACGCAATTGAAGTTATGCTATTCATGGATAAAAAAATCGTGATAAAATCGAAATCGTGATAAAATATTGGAAAATTTGTGATATTCTATTTTTGCCATATCGCCCAGCCCTACCCTGAAGTAGACTGGGAGCCAATTAAGCTGGAGGAGAAGCGGGGTGATGTGGGTGTGTTTGGAGGACTTGGTCAGAAGCGGAGCACAGGCATTCTGAACCACCTGTAGACGGTTCAGGGAGGTTCTGCTCTGACACGTGAAAAGAGAGTTACAGTAGTCTAAGCGTGAGGAGATGAAGGTGTGGATAACTGTCTCAAGTTCAGAGCGAGACAGAATGGGACTCAGCTTAGCAACGTTCCTGAGATGGAAGAAGGAAGAGAGAATAAGAGAACTGACATGATAATCCAGGGTGAGAGCTGGGTCAAAGGTCACGCCAAGATTCCTGACAGAGGGTTTGGTGTGAGAAGCAAGCTGACCAAGAGAGTATCTGACTTTTGGAACCAGCTTGTCTGGGCACAGATGAGGATCTCAGTCTAATGCACAGCTCATAATGCTCACTATGTAATCTGTGCGCTTTTCTAATTTTATTCAAGCTTTTATTTTAGACTAAAATGTAAGCCAGACTACAAATCTGCTGGCTTTTACATTCCTTTGGTGTGAGTGATAAACTTCTTTATCCAGCTGTTTGGCTAGAAGACTGGTTTCAGCTATGTGGAGGCCAGAGAACAGTTCCGGCTTATTGCTTTTTGGTTATTCTTACTTTTAGTTGGCTTACAAAGGAAAACAATTTAGTAAAACTAAAGCCTGTAAAGCACAAGATGCATTTATTTAGTTAAAAAATATTATGTCTGATTTTGCAGAGAGATGAACTCTTTTCTTAGCATACCTCCTCCTCTGCTTTTTCTCATTAACTTTTGTGTCCACCATTGTTGCTGATCATCAACCTAAACATGCTTTTTGTGCAAATCCCTTTGCAGAAAGAAACCTTTTCTTCCCAACTGTTGTACATTTTAATGGGAAAGATGTTTTCCTTGGTTTTCTTACCTCGTTGACTCCAAACAACTCTTTATGTGTTCAGGGAGTCTCTGTGAAACATACTGTATAAGTTTTTTTTATAATAGCTGTTATTATAGTTACAACTATTATAGTTATTATTATTGGAGTTAAATAAAGATAAGAACCCAAAGCCACTTGGGGTTGTCAAACTTTAGTATATCACTCGTGTGTGTGTGTGTGTGTGTGTGTGTGTGTGTGTGTGTGTGTGTGTGTGTGTGTGTGTGTGTGTGTGTGTGTGTGTGTGTGTGTGTGTGTGTGTGTGTGTGTGTGTGTGTGTGTGTGTGTGTGTGTGTTTTCGTGTTCAGAAGGGAGCTAGCGCTGACGATCTTTGGTTACGTCGCTAGCACGTACCGCAAAGGCTGCTGGTACTTTGCTGTCATGGCTCCGAAAGTAAACAGAAAGCTATGAGTTACGATACTTTTGTTGCATTTTGGGAAAACTAACGGCAGCTTCACGCTAAGATTTAACCCGGGGATGTTTTGCAAAATTCCGGTAACTATCCACGTTCATTTGCTTAATTTTTCAGTCACACAGCTTTTTATCCGTTTCTTTGGCTAACGGTATGCTAGCTGTGGGACCTCAATAACGTGATACTCACGTTTTCCTCCAAAGCTGCTGCTGTGTCGACTTACGGATGTAACTGCAACAATGCTAGGGGTTAAGCATATGTCCCAAAACATGTCTTTTTCGCAGGAAGTGACATGTCTGTGGGAAACAAAGCCGTAGAGTTTCAACTTCAGATGAGACACAACGTGGAGGATCTGCAGAGCTTCATGAAGGACCTGGAGAGCTGGGAGAAGGACATCAAACAGAAGGACGAGGAGCTGAGGACTGGAGGAGTCCTACAGGTTTTGGTGTGTCTCTTAAATTAACATGTAAACAACTTAAACTATCTCCAGATAAAAGTCTAAATGTTAAGAAAAGGCTATTTTCGTTAAACAAGTCTAAATACAATTTTAACAAAGATGACGAAATATTATTTTGATTGAAAAAATGTAAATATCATTTCCAAAAGAAATATACTGCTGATAGAACTAAATGAAATACAATTTTGAGAAAGAAGTCACATTTTAAATAAAGTAGTATGAAGTGTTGGAACTTGCTTAGAATTTTTTTTTCTAAGAAATTTAAAAAATAGTGCTTCTGGGCAAAAAATAATCTAAATATTTCAAGAAATAAAAGTGAAATTACTACATGGTTATTTTTCTTCATTTTTTTAAAAACCATAACCAGAGGAGGCTAACCCTGTTTTGCTCCTGAACCAAACTCTGAGAATTCTGGGTATGTTTTTAGAGTTAATATTAAAAGGTGCATTTTATTGCACATAAGTGTAGTCTTTTTGCTACTTCTTTTTTAACTTCTACAGAAAAGTCAAAAACTTTCTTCAATTACTTACTATATGAGTTTCAAGTATACATAAGTACTAGAAAATATCTGAGACCTTTAAATGAAAGTGGGTTTTTTATAAAAGTACTTTGACAACTTTCAGATGTTTTGAGGTAGAATGGTTTTCTGTAAAATGGATAAACAGAGTTTGCTTCTTGGGGCAATTCTTGAAATGTTGGATTTCTTCCTCCCCCTTTTTTCACTTAGAAGGTTGTACTTCATGTTTGTATTGTGAATTAATGATGAATGAAATTGCAGAGTGAGAAATAAACAAATGAAAAGAAATCACCTGTTTTCAACTTGTTTCTGGAAAATGTTTTTGGACTTTCTTCTAAACTTTTCAGTTTTAACCGCAAAACTTTCTCCTATATTTTTCTTTTTTTTTTCTTCTCAAGGTCCCAATTGATTTAGTGGGGCCAGAAACCTGATTTTAAAATCTATTTAACAGGAAAAACTCCCTCCTGTGCGCAACAAACACTACAAAACAAAGATGAAGGGAAAGAAGAAGAAGAGGGAGCAAAGTGGTGAATCAAAGTCAGAGGATTCCTCAAAAATCTCCAGACTGAAATCATACGACTATCGATCCTGGGACAAGTTTGATGTGGTATCTAACTATTTATTATGAGATTTTATAGTTTGTACTAAACTATTAAGTTAGGTGAATGCAGATTTGATCTTATTTGTTTTGCTTTGCAGGACAAAGCCCTAGCAGAAATGGATAAGGAGGATTGCATTGCTGATTCAAACGAGTCCGACACGGAGGATGCTGCAGTGGACGAGGAGAAAGCGCAGTCTGAGAAGGAAATGGTAAATGAAATATGAGGAGTAAGGGATTAAGTCAGAGAGATTGTTCAAGCTAAGCTGGTGTATGCCTTTTTGTTTTCAGGGTAACAAGTTTTTCAAAGAAGGAAAGTATGATGATGCAATAGAGTGTTACACCAGAGGGATGGCTGCAGATCCATACAACCCTGTGCTTCCTACAAACAGAGCCACGTCCTTCTTTAGGCTTAAGAAGTATGATCTTGTCTAACTCAGAGAAATAAACATAATCTGATCAGAACTGAATTCATCTCAAGCTTGTGTCCTTGTGCAGGTACGCTGTGGCAGAATCCGACTGCAACTTGGCCATCGCCCTCAACAGCAACTACTTCAAGGCATATGCTCGTAGAGGAGCCGCCCGGTTTGCTCTGATGTCCTATCAGGCGGCATTAGAAGGTAGAAATCCGGTTTTAAAATGACTTATTTTATATGAGTTCATGGAGATGACAGAAGTTTCTGTGCAGATTACGAGATGGTTCTGAAGCTCGATGCTGGGAACGTGGAAGCAGAAAATGAAGTGACGAAAATCCGAGAGGTGGGTCATGATTTAGAGACTGGTTCACAGAACTATCTCAGTCTGTGGCTAGGAAGAAAAACCCTCTGCAGTCACTGGAATATTTTGAAAGTGATAAAAGTGATAATAAAATAGAAAAATCAATGTTAAGTGATGAAAATTTGACATTACTTTTGGAGTGTGGTTCAGCAGATGAATTAAACAACTGCTGGTCTAGACATAAATAATGGTACCCCTAGAAAAGATTGAGATGAATATCACCACAACGACATGTTTAAGACGTGTCCTGTAATAAGAAACAAGGATGTTTTCAACTTATTGCATCAGTCAGTGAGAGGTAGTCACAGTGCTGCCTGGTATTAGGGTGTGTACCACACTGAACCTGCACCACAGAACGGTCATGGGAGAGTTGTCTCCGGAGACTAAAAACGATTACTGAAAAGCATTTTAAAGGTAAAGGCTTTAAGACCATCTCTAAAGCTGGTTGTCCAAGAGCACTACTCAGAGTAACTCGGACCGGTACAGCTCGACCCGACAGTTTCCATGGGCATGGTTCGTTATTTTCCCTCTACTTTCTCCTCGATTTTAGTCCCTGCTTCGTTGAGGTACCTGGCACGGCTTCGTCAGGCCGGCATCGTGACTCTGGCTAGCTGCTGGTTGGGTAGGGGGTGGAGTCTTTGGTTGCTCTGGAGTGGTCTGTCTTTACTTTGATGCCTGCAGTAATTTCATGGTTCAGAGTCTGACAATAAGCCATAAAACTGAGCAGAATGTCCAGCAACACCACCATTTTTCTGCTGAGTTGTGTTTCTGTGGAGCATACAGGTTACCTTACACTGTTTACTGATCCCCTCATGCTATTTTGTCATGAGTAAAAAAATTGAGGGGCAATTGAGGTTTGCCGTGACACCAGTCACTTTTGTCATTCAGAGATTTTATAGATTCCAGTAAGAGGAGGAGCTGCAGGTCCTAGTTAGATGACACAAAGAGGACCACATCATCCACAAAAAAGCAGATCCTCCTGACACAAAACACACTCCACCCACATTTGCACCAGATATTATATCCATAAAAGTTATGAACAGAACCCTCCGCTCTACACACCCTGAAACACCCAGGCCACGATCCTATTTCACCTGGAAGACCCTACCAGGGGCAAAGTGCCTATGACCACATAACGTCAAGGAGGAGGCCTCGGAATGTTGTGCAATAGAATAATAAGTAAAAGACAGCATCCTTTTAACCTTTTATTTGTTTTGGTCTAATTTGTTCTTATTATCTGACTGATTCAGATCCTCAGACAACAGGATGTCCCAAGTGAGGACAGCCAGCTCGTTGAGCCTCCAGTTGATCCCAACCAGCAGAAACAGATGGAGGAGCAGCAGAGAAAACAGGAAGCGGTTGTTCACAAGGACAGGGTAAAGTCTTTCTGCCAATTTAAGGCTGCTTGACACGTTTTAACGTCATTTAATGTAACAATATTGATTATTTCCTACAGGGGAATGCTTATTTCAAAGAGGGGAAGTATGAAGCTGCAGTAGAGTGCTACACAAAAGGCATGGAGGCGGACAGCATGAACGTTCTTCTGCCTGCCAACAGAGCCATGGCGTTTCTCAAACTGGAGAAGTACGGACACGTTTATCCCAGGAGGATATTGAGGAATCTGTCAGACAAATGAGAATCTGTTAGCAGCATATCATGGTGGCCTTGTGATGCCCTCCCTGTTTGCTGCAGGTATAAGGAGGCGGAGGAGGACTGCTCCACAGCCATTTCCCTGGACAACACATACTCCAAGGTGTTTGCCCGCCGTGGCACAGCCAGAGTGGCTTTAGGGAAGCTAGAAGAGGCCAGGGAAGGTTCTGTGAAACTGTAGCAACACACCATGTGTTTCAAATATGATGATCTTTTGTCTACATTGGAAACTTTGGTGCATGTTACAGATTTCCAGCATCTGCTAAATCTGGAACCAGGAAATAAACAAGCCCTGGCTGAACTCCAGAAACTCCAGATTGTACGTAATTTCTTTCCAACTGTGTTTAATTTACTCTTACAGAGAGAAGAATGAGCTTCAGCAGGATGTATTCCTTTATTAACAAACCTACAGGTCTTTAATTCTGACTGTTAGATTTTCCCCATCATGATTTGATTTGGTTTTAGGAGACGGGTTCTACTGCTCTTCAGCCAGAAGGTCTCTCATGGAGGAGAACAGTCCAGCCAATCAATAAACCAGAACATCTGCGCTCAAAAGTGAGTTTTATATTGTTTTGGGTGAAATCTTAGTCCATCTCAGTGTTTACATGCTGTAACGTTATTCCTCCAGCAGGTGGTAGAAAAGACCTAAATATCTCATGAGGGGTGGGCAATATGTACTGAGTGTGTGGAGCATTTCGCCTTGTCTGATACTTTAAATGACTAGTATATGACAACAGCTGCATGTCCATTTTAACGGTAAACGGATTAATAGCAGTTTTGTTTCTTCTACATGCTCTAAAAGTACAGCTCACTCCACCTCCCATCCAGAAAGCTCCTGCTAACTCCCCCCTTACCCAGACTACTCCAGTAGAATCAGTCTTTATCAGGAACCAGAGAACAAAGCTTTCTGAGATGGCAGATCAAATGACAGCCAACTCCTGAAGAGAATGGCTTTGATCTGGGCGCGTTCGATCAGAAAAATGAGCAAACCTGCTTTTACCTGTTAGAGTTTCAGACTTTGAGCTGTGTAGCACTAATCAGCATGCATACACATCCCAATTCACCTATCATTAAATATTTAATGTTTGAAAATATTCAGTATTTTATTCTGTGGAGCCTGCTTGTGGTCTCTGTGCTGGAAAATCAATCATTTGATAAATTTACTGGCACCTCATTTTGAATCCAGGTGGTCTCTTTTGTTTGTTTTAACACAACGTCCCCTCAGTCACACACAGAGGCCACTGAAGCTGCTGCTAATAAAATCCAGCCTTTCCTCATTCTAAAGGTCATTTTAAAGTTAGAAAAACATTTAGATTATTCATCCTCAGATTATGGCATTCCCGCCCCTCATTTAGGAGCTACCTCCTCGTTTTAGTTCCTGGTCTCACACACGGCCGGCTCTCTGCCTGCATCCAGGTCAAGCTGAGAGGACTTTAGCCTTGTGTTTTTAAATTACACCTCCAGATTGCAAATTAACAAATTAAACATGAATCTTTTTGGGTAAACACATTTTTTCTCTCTCTTCAGAAACCTCTGAAGAGAATTGAAATAGAGGAGGTCGGCGGTAACACGTTGATTCCTGAGCTGGAATCAGCTGGCTGTTTAGTCCAGGAAGTGGAGAGGAAGGCTGAGGAAGAGTCCTCTCCTCTGTCCACATCACCCAACGCCAAGATGATCAAAATCGAGGAGATGGCAGACACACCCTCACACACCTCACCCAATCAGTAAGTGCTTTTCGGGGGGTTCCTGCACGTATTTCAGTCTTAAATCTGATATTTTTGTTTGTAGTTATTTTTTTATAGATGTTCAGATTTATTGTTTGGAAAATTCCCATCATTCATCATTGTTTCCTCTCTCCAGACTTCCTGTTGATCAATCCTCCAGACAGCCATTGCAGGAGGTAACCGTTGCTCCCCCTGCACCTTCAAACACCTCCTCATCGTCAGTAGGAGATATCCCTGCTCCACCTGCTAACAGCTTCCAGCTGGAGTCCGACCTCCGGAAGATCAGAACCCAACCTGAGCTCATTTACAGATACTTACGCGTCAGCATTGACTCGCTTCTCTTTATCTGATTATTGTAATTGTTGAAGGTTTTTTGATGAGTTTTGTTGCCTTTACGGAAGTTTATTTATTTTTTGTTGGCAGCAAATCAAACCCGCAGCATACAGCAACATTTTCAACAACTCTCTGGAACCAGATATAATGAATCAGATCCTGACCACCCTGCGTGATTTCTACATGAAGTAAGTTCCAAAAATTAGGAGAAAATATTTGATTTGAACTGCTTTTGACAACTCAGGGGTCATACTGGTGTTTTTGTCAAGTATTAAAAAGCATTTTTTTTCTTTAAGGGATAATAAGATAAATCTGATTGCAGGAATGAAGCTCCAGCCATGATTCTGGAGATTCTCAGCAGTCTTGCTGGCGTGAGGCGCTTCGACATGGTTGTTTTGTTCATGTCCACCCAGGAGAAGAAAGGTGTCTAAATAAATTTCAATTTCTCCTTTTTAAAACCAACAAAGTCCAGCATGCTAACTATTCCTGTACCTCTTTTTAATTTCTCTCCAGTTCTAAAAGAATTATTTGACTTCCTCCTCCAAACTGAGGTGGACCAATCATCTGTCTCTGCCCTCCAGAAGAAGTACGGAGTGTGAAGCTTGGGTTGAGGGAATCCGTTATATTTTCAAATAACAGATTTTGGTTTGGGTGAATTTTGTTAGCTGTTAAGATCCAGTTCCCAGAAGGACGTGTGTGTGTGTGTGTGTGTGTGTGTGTGTGTGTGTGTGTGTGTGTGTGTGTGTGTGTGTGTGTGTGTGTGTGTGTGTGTGTGTGTGTGTGTGTGTGTGTGTGACTAAATGAGAACTCAGTGACTAAATGAGAATTCAGTGCTGCTTGAACATTCTTCCTTTTCTTAAACCTGACAAAGTGGTTTAGACCAAATATGAGAGATGGAAGTTTTGTGTTTCTAACTGTTCATGCTTCATTAAAACCAAATAAACCTTTTTCTGTTTCTAACTTGACACACTGTTGTCTTAGTTGAGTCTGAGATTTCCGCTTACTAGTAATTTTAATGCAGTTTTAAATCAGATCCCAGTGCAGTTTCACAAAACCATATGGCCTTCAAGGAGAGGGGATTTGAAGGAGCATACCACAGGTTAAAAGCTTTGAAATCCACATTTTTCTGTTTGAGCTGATAAAGATCCTCACATGAGAAGTTGTTTTCAAAAATCAAGTCAGTTTGGAAAGAAAATATCAATCTCATCATGTGTGTGGAGTGCACGTCAGAGTAAGATGCTCTGAAGTAAACACGAAGCTTTGCTTCAAAATAAAAGTACCAGTCTATTATTACAAGAATAGCTTTAATTATTGTCAACATGTCAGATAACATAAAAGATTAACAGTGTTTGTAGTGGATTCTAATACATGCTTAATTTTCTACCATTCTTTAATTTTCAGAATAACTTCCTTTATCTCTTAGACCAACACGGCTATCCTGCAGAGAAAACTAATTCCAGCCACCTGCTTTCATGCTATTGTTTCCTGGGTTAGGACCAAAAGCGCATGACTATAAGGGAGGGGTTACAACGTTGATCAGCTGGTAAATAAAGAGCTTCATGTTCTCATTCCTCTCCATCTTTTCCACAGCAGACCTGTTCAGTGTTAGCATCACTGCAGGTGTTGGTGACATTCATTGTTTGTGTACCTGATGTAGGTAATCTCTGTTGGAAATCCAGTATTTATGGATGAGAATCAAGGCTCAGGTTTGGAAGTGCTGATCCACTCCCCATCACTCAGCAGTGAACAGAAAAGCTGAAGGTTGTGGTTTGATGATGCTAGGGTTTAATTGAGGTTATTAAGTCACAACGAGTTGTTTCAAGGCACTTTACAAAGTAAACATTGCAATTGAACCAACTCATTAGCATATTTAGTGGGGAAGGTTGCAGGTTCAATCCCGGCTCTGGACAGAGAATTCTGCTGTTGTGTCCTTGGGCAAGACACTTAACCCACCTTGCCTGCTGGTGGTGGTCGGAGGAACATGTGGCACCTGTGCTCGGCAGCCTTGCCCCTGCCAGTGCACCCCAGGGCAGCTGTGGCTACATTGTAGCTCATCACCATCTGTGTGTGAATGTGTGTGTGAATGGATGAATGATACACTGTAGTGTAAAGCGCTTTGGAGTCCTTACTTGAGAGGCACTATACAAGTGCGGGTCATTTATCATTGAGTTCAGTTCATTATTTCAATTAGATAAAGGTCTTCTAACTATAAGGAACCCCAGCAGATAGCATCGTGTCACACTGACTTGTCAGTGACTTAACAGCAATCCCCATACTAAGCAAGAGAGGAAAACTCCCTTTTAACAGGTGTCCCTTTAAAATGAAACCTCCAACAGAACCAGGCTCTGTATGAGCAGCCGTCTGCTGGGGGTTTGATCAGCAAAAATAAAAGCAGAGAGAAGACCCTCCTACAAATGTGACACCTTCCACCCCACGTCTACCTCTAAATCCTTCTCATAAAGGTTATATGAGAAAAGGCAGCCATGTCTAGCTCTCATTAAGAACAGGGGCAACCTGTTGCCAGCCACGTAAACCAGACTCATCAGGGACAGATTTTTCACAAAGACCCATCTGCTCCATACTAATACCCCCCAAGTCCTACAACAGCCATACTCTTGAGAAATTATGCATCTTTGTTTGTTAGTTTATTTAAATATATTTCACACTAGGTGGTTAGAAAAGTAACCTTTATTATGAAATCCAAAAGTATTTTTAGTTTTCATTCAGTTCCTGTTAAACCAACAGTGGTCGTTCACAAAGTACCCATATTTTCTTTTCACACATACATTTATTTCACATCTATTTCAGTGAATTCTGCCCTACGTTTGGATTTCTGCTTTCTGGACTCTGACCTGAGCTCTGTAGATCTCTATCCTTCCTCACAAAAACACTTTTCTCACTACAAATTCCCCAAAATGCAAAATTCATTCATTCAAGAGGGTTTTCTTTCACTAACACAGTATTATTACAATTATTTCATCTACCATGAAATAAACAAATTATAAACATTCTTGTTAAAAAAAGGTCTAATTGATTTTATCGCCGATGTACAAAAATCAAATGTATCGACACTAAAGCCACTGCCAAGCATATAATATTTATCTCTTCTGACGAGGAAAGCTCCAAAGTAAAATAAATGTGTCATTTTTAAAGTGATGTTTCCCTCGAATCTCTGGGTGGCCTGAAGGTCAAAATCTCTGTGAAAGTGTGACCTGTGCAAATAAAAAAAAACAACAGACAAGTATCATAATCTTCAGTTCACATTTTTGAGATAATACACAACTCACTACTGACATGAATCTGTCAGTGATTTGCCATTTTTGCTCTTGTGATTCAAGTAAGAATATGCTGCATACGTCCATTTATGTCAGTAATTCAACTTAGACCGAGAGACCATCTAAAGGCTCAGGAACCCTTTGCAGGTGTTCTGGATTCATTAACTGATTAGAGTGCAACACTTTCCGCAATATTCTAATTGTCTGAGATTTTTAATGTGGGGTTTTCATAAGCTTCATAACCATAATGATCAAAAATATAACAAATAACAGCTGAAAATATCTGACTTTGCATGCAATGAGTCAATCTCATATACTAGTTTCACATTTGAAATTGATTTACTGACATAAAATAACTTTTGCACATTCTAATTTTCCTAAGGTTCCCCTGTAGATCCTAAAATAACCATTTCAGAATAAATATACCAAACGTACCCCAGGGCAGCTGACTTGTTTTCTCCTAATACTGTCATCATTGGTGATTCTATCATTAGAAACGTGTGTTTCTATAATGCCACCATGCACTGTTTTCCTGGGACAACAGTTTCTGTCATTTTAGACAAGCTCCTCAATTACGTACTTCCATCTCTCCCAGATTCTATCAAAAGGATATTTGTTCATGTGGGATTCAGTGATATCAGCTGTAAACACTCGGACCTGAACAAAAGGGATTTGGCCTGTTTTTAGATGTCCTTTAACAGCATAGAAAGTCTATATTTTTCTCTGGCTCCAATCACACTAAAGTGTCAGCACTCAAGCCTTCAAACTTGGCTTCAATCAGTCTGCAAGAAGCCCAACTTTGCTTTAATTGATCATTTGAATCTGCTCTGGAAAAGGAGATTATTGGGGAAATGGAATCCATCCGAACAAACTCGGTGCTAAGTTGTTGGACGTGAACATTCTCACTCACGTGACTATTTACTTCTCATGCAGATGTCTCTAATTCCACTATTTTCTGCCTTCTCAATCACTTCCATAATGCTCACGCACACTTTATGGTTTACTTCCTTTATGTGCACCCTCTCCCTCCTGCTCACTGATTGAGACAAATTTAGGAAATAGGCCAAGTTTATACAAACTTAGAAGAAATATATATTACCTTATTATATTAAAGTGTTCTCCTCTTGAGGCAGACAGCTTGTGTAATCAGACCCCTTTAGTAAACGTGAGATCTATTTAAAAAAATCTTTTATTTTTAACGATTTTATTTTCATGGCTTGTTTAGATTTTTTCATTTCTAACTGAAACTTGAGTACCTGATGAATTCAGTCAGACGTTAGAAGTTTGTCCTCACCAATATTACTTTTTTTAACACACCAAGACCTTCGGGGAACAGGGGATTGCAGATATATATGCTGGAGATGTGATGACCTCTTTGTGTTCTTCGTGTGCACATCATTAACTTTACCCGTGTGGACCACATGAATACGTAGCTACGCCCCTTTGGGTTCTGCAGAGCATAACAGCGTCACCGCCATGTTGGATGGGTCTCCTCACTCTCCAAACCCAACTGGAGTTAACACAGGACGAGCAACTATGCTCATGTTTGTTACAGCCCATGGTTGCAACATCACTATTGAAACATTTCTAGCCTACCTTTTGGGATTTTATATTTAATTTAATTTATGTAATTATATGTATATTTTGATTATCAAGTCAAACCGTATGTCTGATTTTGTGAAAAAACATAATGTGTTTTTTATATGGGCAAACACCTTCCTCAGTAGAAATAAATGCACTGGGGGACAATGGAGACCCATCCAAGATGTTGGCCGCTCACTAGGCAGCACCAGTCCACAGTCTACACATATACGTCTGTGGTGTGGGCTTTAATCACGAGTGGTGATGAATGCCTTCCCCCGAGGATAGATGGCATTTACTGCTGTGATTATGTTTAATCTCATTTTACGGTTAAAACATAATTTCATACTCGAGCAGAAAAATTCTCTGCTGACCTAAAAGGTTATGCAGCAGTAATGCAGAGCCTCGTCTCTTACGTTTCCACTGATCCAGAGGCAGGTCTGCGTTGTCCAGGGTCTGATCGTACGGCAGAGCCTCCGTCTCCTCCTCTACATCTCTGAACTCGCTGAAGAAGGGGAGCTCCAGCGCCTCGGACGCACTCACCCTGCACTCAGGGTCCAGAAGCAGCATCTTTTCCAGAACACACACCGCTAGAGTGTACCCAAGACACGTCAGTGAGAACCTCCTTAAACCAACAGGTGCATCAACAAGAGAACTCAGCATTCTGAGTACCGTTTGAACTGGCTTTGGAGAAAACAAAGTGCAGATCTTTTTTGGGAACTTTTGACAAGCTTCTGATGTAGTTTCTGGCCTGTTGGAGAAATGTTCACATTAAGATTTGGTTCACTTCATCAGGACAGACTCAAACAGCAGAACAAGTATCAAAGCCACTGATTTCAAATACGAATGTGAACCAACACGACTACCGGTTCTTCTTTTTGAAGTCTGTGAGCAAAGCTACAGCTCTCTTTCATTTCTAAAGTTTCCTCCTCCGAGGGCAGACCTAATGTGTAACCTAGGCAATGGCTTACATCTTGGCTCTGTAGCTTCACAACAAAGTCAGGAGTCGGGGTTCCTGTAATCTTCATGATTTCTCTGAGCTGATCCAGATCTGAAGGTAGTCAGTTAGGGACATCCATAACCATTTCATGTTAGATTTCTACGAAATGCACAAGAATAACAGCGATTCATCAAGCTGAGGGTGCAGAGAAACAGTTCAGAGGTAAAAGTTCGAACAGCTAAGAACAAGGATACGATCGTTTCCTTTAAACAGCGGTTTTCCCAAAAGCATCTCTGCCATGATGCAGCCTGCTGACCAGATATCCACTGCAGCACAAAGCAGAACGTCAGTTATCATGTCATTTAGGGGTTACAGTTACTATTATTAGAGGGACTATTTTACCAGTCTGGGTATAATGCATCCAGTTGAGGATAACTTCTGGGGCTCTGTACCAGCGCGTCACCACATAGCCCGTCATTTCAGAGACAGCTTGCCTCGCCAGGCCAAAATCAAGAATCTGAAGCAGTGATGTGATGTAAAAATGAGGTCAATTTGAGAAAAAAAGTCTAATCCGTAAATCTTAGTTTCAAAGTGTTTTACCTTTAACTCACAGTCTGGGTTGATCGCTAAATTTCCAGGTTTGAGATCCTGTTGGAAAACAACAATGTCAAGAAGTGCCTTGAGACGACTCTTGTCGTGATTTGGCGCTATATAAATAAACTTGAATTGAATTGAATTGAATTAAAGATAACACAATTTCTGCTGTTTAACTGAACACAGGAGTTTCTGTAGTGCTTACAGAACTACACGGGCTGCAGATTTAATCTGTTCTTTAATCTCCTATAATTAGCTGTCAAACTAAAATGAGCCAGACATGCTCAGAAACTGAGACATATCAGATTGCTTGAAATACAGGATCAAATCCTCACAGAGACATCACAAGCTGACTGAAACGCAAACCCAAATGAAGGAATGTGAGAAAGAGAAGACCCATCCACAAAGCTTTTAGCTTGAAAGGTCAAAGTTCACTCACCCTGTGGATGATCCCTGCAGAGTGGATGTACTGCAGATCAACAAGATATGGAAAAGTTTTGACTCAGAAAACAACATTATTTGTCTTTTTTTCTAAAATGAACATCAATTTTCTGTAAAATCAGATTTTTTTTACTCCTACCTTGAGCCCTTTCAACATCTGGTAAACAAGAAACTGTACTCTGTCCTCTGACAACCTTTCCATCTTCATCAGCTTGCCTAGGTCAGTGCCCATGAATGGCATTACCAGGTAACTGAGGAGGACAGGAAAAAATTGAGATTTAGAAAAAAAAAGTCCTTTCTATGGACGAGTGAGTAGGAGGACAGGGGAGCTTACAAATCTCTAAGCTGGTCCAACAAGATCTCAGCAGTGAAAACGTCCAACAGCCCAATCACCTGGGAGGAACCATTCAGGAAAAACAATAACTTTTATAGGACATTATTCTAGTTACAAAGTTATCAAGGACACCTACATTTTCATGTTTCATGTGTTTGAGCAGTCGCAGCTCCCTGTAGGCCCTTTTAGCAAAGAGTTTGGACTGGAAAGGCCGATGAAGCTTTTTGATGGCCACCTGAGTTCCAGAACGACGGTCCCATGCCGAGCTGACAGAAACAACATGAAACGATTACTTGTGTTTAAATTACTTAAAACTGTTACAGTTTTCCTTTTAAAATAAAAAGTCACCTGGGAAACATGCATATATATATATAAATATATAGCTATATGCGCCATCTCCTAGGCCTCTGTAGGACCCAGCTTCAAAGGATGTGAGGGATGAGAGAATGATGGGGATTTTTTAATATGTTGTTCTGTTTTCTTAAAGCCTGAAATAGTCAGAGATCACATTTTAAGGATGGAAATCCACAAATATCTCAGTTCACAAAGAGTCATCACAGTCTCAGGGTCTAGAGAGAAAAAGAACTGCAGGTTTTGTTACTGGTCACAAAGCAGAGGAGCATTTTGAGCACAGAGTTTAGGAGCCTGTGACTTTTCCTAAACAATGAAAGTGAATGGGGGGTTTCTTTGTTGACCCTCATCCAGACTCACACAATGCAGAGGGGCCCAGCAGAGCCAGCTGTGAAGGTCCTGACCAGAACCAGGCAGCTGTTGGGTTTGATAATTCAAACTTTAAACGCTTAATCTGGGCGAGTCAAAAACACTAAAATTAACTAAAAACAAACAAAAGAAAGAGACATGTATTTATTTTTTATTATTTTATGAGTGAAAATTTACTGGCTACTCCAGGTTTTTGCTTTGTATTTTCTACTAAAGCTACTTAAATCCGATTTGACTAATTTTTTCACACATTTTGCCTACGGAATAAAAAAACGTCCATAATGATTAAAATCCCTCCATGTCTTTTCATGCAGCTGTTGCAGCTTTTATTCTGAACTCACCACACGGTTCCATAAGCGCCCGTTCCGACCTGCTTCAGGTCCCGGTACCTCTCCGGCACCTCCCACACGGTTCTGTTTACCTCCTGCCGGTAGAACCCCGTCCTGGACCGAGCCGCTATAGCCATACCCTGACTGACGAGATGGGCTGAGCTCGGGTTCAGTTCAGGTTGGGTTCAGTTCCCTTATCTCATGAGAAAACGAGAAGTTTCTGCCTCGGATGTCTTTGCGCGCTGTCCAAATTCCTCTGAGGGACCAGCTGAGCGCCCCCCCTTCACACACACACACACACACACACACACACACACACACACACACACACACACACACACACACACACACACACAGAGTTTGACTGATCACCCTGGGCAGTCTGGGTGTGTCCACAATGTGTGGGGGAGTAAAGCGCAGAACATCTGCCCATTTAGACCACCATCCATGAGAAACCAGCCTGCTGTAATCTAAAAATAACCATTTTGCTGTCCAGATTTTAATATTTGGCCTATATCCTCCTCAATCTGAGTTTGTTGTTTTGTTCTTCTATAAGACCTCAACAATATTATTTTACTTAAAGTTTTTCTATGATGAACAAAATACTCAAAATGCTCAAAGAAATTAAACTGCTATTATCTCCCCATAAAAAATAGGTCTAGGTTTGAATGACAATATTTGCAAAAAGCCAATGTCCTGTTTTGGTGGCTACTGTCCAGTGGCGTGTCCAGGCCTTTGGGGGGGGGGGGGGGGGGGGGGGGGCATGTTTATGCATGGGTGGCACCTATATGGTGATGCTTTTTTTCCTTTCTTTTAAAAATCATCCTGTTTTTTCATGCTAGTGAACTTGTGAGCTCTACATTGACCCAATAATCCCAATACTTCACCCCTGCACCCTCCGATTGCACGTTACAGTCTAGGGATGCAATTGCATAGTTTGTTCTGATCCTCAAGTGTGGAAATTGACCACGCCCCTTTGCACTTGTAACCCGTATTTTGCCCAAGTCTGCATGATTACTGGAAAACTGTTACAGTTTTCCTTTTAAAATAAAAAGTCACATAGGAAACATGAGTGCCCCTCTTCACACACACACACACACACACACACACACACACACACACACACACACACACACACACACACACACACACACACACACACAGAATATATATATATATATATATATATATATATATATATATATATATATATATATATATATATATATATATATATATATATATATATATATATATATATTTAAGCTCAGAGGCAAAGGGTATTACCCAAGGCTCATGTGCCCTTTCTGAAAATATGTATTTTTCAAAGAAAATTTCATTTTAAGACGATTAATGACATTTATTCATGCTCTGAACATTTTAGACTAAGATTTATTGTGGACAGCAAAGAGTGTAAATTTTGTCAATTGTTGTTTGGAAAGTTGTGAATAAATATATTTTTTAAAGTAGCACAATCAGTTATGGACTTCTAAGTTAGATTTCTACAAAATGCACACACACACACAAAAACCACGGCATGCACTGTGGCCGATGACTCAACGGACACTGTCTCAATTAGGCAGTTATTTGCACATTTGTGTACCACACACTCGAACCCTTACTTCCTTGTGCACTTTGCTGAAGACCACAGGGCGCAGTGCGAGTATTAGGATTGGGCCATTGTGTCATAACCAGTTTTTTCCTGTTTTTCCTTCTTCTTCTTCTAGCTGTTTTGTGGTGGCTAGCAAGTCACTTCTTGGTGCATTACTGCCACCAACTGGAATGGAGTGGGACTTCAATTCTAAATACTATTTACAGTATGTTAAGTGGGAAAAATAGTAAGAAATAAAACTAATACAGAAATGTTCTGTTGGCCTGAGGCTGGAAACAATATTAAAGGTACGTGCTGCAATGTACTGTTTTATGGTGTATTACCCTAAGCCTTTGTGGACAATGTAAAGTCGATTAAAATGTTTCTCAATAGGATGGCACCGGGGGGGCAATGTTATTTTAAGGGTGGCATGCGTTACCCCAGGCCACTCTTTGAACACGCCCCTGCAACCATCTTGGCAATAAATTTATACATATTTTTTAATTAAAATAAACATTAAATCATCACTCTCAGTGTTTAAAATACAATAATTTAGATGCAGTAAACTCTGCATCTATAAGCACACTGTAAACAAATAAAGTGCTAAAATGTGTTTTGAATTCAGTGTTTACCCGAGCAGCTTGGATTCAGCTGGAATGAATGTATGCATGGGAACAGTTTCAAAATACTGTCTTTGTGCCTCAGTCTGGGTCATATTACATCTGTGTGTGTGTGTTCACGTCTGCAGTATTTGTTTTCAGAACGACAAGTTCTTGGGAAGGTCAACAGCTTTTCATCAATAAGTAGGTTGCCTGTACAGGCATTACTATAAGCAAGCAAGAGCTCACACACGTCACGCTCAAGACTTGTTGAAAGACTACAGTAAAATAAAAACAAATCTCTGATGTACGGCTTGGTGTGTTTTAACTGCATGTGCTACAAGCATTTCGGGTTTTAATCAATTTTTCTCTTTTGTTGTATCTTGAATTTTGAAAAGTCATACTTATATTGTTTAAAAAACTAGTGCCACCTTTAAACCCTTAAAACACGTTTTGCACCATAGACTTTCACTATACCGAGCATATGTGGTACTTTGATTTAACCCTTCGGTGCATAACGGTCACTACAGTGGACAGGTACTCAAAATTGTTATTTATTTGTTTTTGCTATTAAGCACAGCTGTTGAAGACTTTATTGCATTTGAACCCCTCCATTTGGACTTCAGTAAGCCAAGCCAACATATTTCAAGATCAGAATGCATGCTGTCCACTGAGGTGGACATGTAATAAATTATTTGTAAATTATAAAATTTTGCAAACAATATTTGTTGAAATTTGTTTCATTCACACCTAAAGACAAATGAAAAAAATTGTTAAAAAATCATGGTTGAAGATTTCATAATTCATGCATCAAAGGGTTAACCCTTTATAGGGCACAAATTTACGTGGTTTAATTTTTCAAATTGCAACCCCAGAGTGCTATTGTAGTCCATAACAAAGTGTCTTTCTGTTGTTACAATTTTCTAAAACATTTATTTTCATGTAGAAAATCAGAGAAAACAAAGTGACCAAATATGGACGTTGGCCCTGTTCTGGTAAAAGAAATCCCAAAATAAAACACATGAAAAAGTTAAACAAACATTCTTTTTGAATAATATAGATAATTATAAGACACGTTACAATAATCTAGCTAATTTTAGAACATTACATCACTATTAAAATACAGTATATATCACAATTATTAAACAATATAAATATTTTTATAAAAACAGATTAATGTGGAATATTTTTTTAAAGTTATTGAACAATATATGCTATTTCTGATTAAATATAGAACATTAGAATATTTTACATTTGAGGATCTGCCTCAATGTCATCTTCCTCCTGATCATCATCATCACTGATGGGGAGATTGGTTGGCACAATAACATCCTACTCCATTTACAAATTCATTCAATATCATAATTGCTATTATTGTTACCATGAATATTAAGATTATGTCTAAAAAACAACAGATTTAACCTAAAAATATTCATAATTTCTCTATCTTGTTCAGAGTTCAAAAATGTCAGATTTGATTTTCATGCTAAGATTTCACCAACTTTACTGAGTTTAACATTTACAACACATTTATGTTTATTTAGCACAACTAGTCAACCTTGTGATGTGAGAATTTCATAAACCTTGTTAGTTTTAGAGATCTGAATGTTAACATGTGAGGAGAATGAGTTGTTTTCTGGCTCTGCAGACACACCGATGTTTGGCGTGTTATAGCCCTGTGCTGATTGGTGTAATGGCACCATGGTGCAAACTGTGTAGCTTGATCTCTGATGATTGTTTGGGTGAAATCCCGTAATTGTCATGTTCTGTGTCCCTTTGTTCCCCAGCCCCTCCAGTTCCCACTCCAGGTTCTCCTTTTGTGTTTCATAGCACCCTCATGTGTCCTTTGTCTGCATCTCATTTATGTGTCTCCTGTGTTCCTTTAGTCTTCTCCAGTCATCCCTCTGCAGTGTTTATAGTTTCAGCTTTTCATTTTTATTAGTCTCTTTAATATGTTTTGTCCCACTGGTTTTTGTAGTTCTCCTTCCCTTTAGAATTTTAGTTATATGGTTGCTTTTCTGTTTTTAGGTTCACTCTTAGGTCATATTAGTTTCTTCCCTGATTAGTCATTGCTTTCACCTGGTCCTCCCCCCACACTCCACACCCCTGCAGCTCATCTGCCTCCCATTATGCCCCAGTGTATTTAAGCCCTGTCTTGTCGGTCCATTGTTGCTGTTTGTGGTATTTCTGTCAGTCTCTCGTTCCTATAGGCTCTAGAGTTTCTCGTGTCTCAGTTGGATCTCTAGTTTATTTTGGATTTTTAACATTTTTGGACTTTGGCTCCCTGCCCCTGGATTTATTCTTCGTTTCATCCTTCAAAATTAAAGGATTTTACTATACATCATCTCCTGCCTCGTGTCATCCTGGGTTTCTGCACTTTGGCTTCAACATCCCTCAAACGTGACAGTAATTCTAAGAGTTTGTGAAAAAGCACACACATGGAAGTAGAAGACTGTCTTTTACATAGTGCCTCTCAAAATAAAAATCACAAAGTGCTTCACAAAAACAAAAAAAAATTTAAGTATAAGTATAAAAAGCTTTAAAAAAAATGATTAAAAATATGTTTAAAAGGAGCTAGCTATGAGAGCTTTAAGTTAATATTGTGAATGCCCTGTTTGTTTGGTAAGGTTTGTCTCTGTTAGTATTTATCTGTATATTGTAAGTTTATTTATCTGCTGTTTTTCTTTATTAAATGCATGTACTCCTCCCATTCCATCTGGTCACGGGTTTGTTACCTCCTTACCTTCCTAGCATAGCCAGGACGTAACATAAGTGTGAATATACCAGACAAAAAAACACAGGCTCAAAAGGACTTCTACTGAAAGAGGCAATAGCATTTACTATCCCTAAATCCAACCAGAGGAGCTTTAACTCTACAGCTTTAACTCTACACAAACCTTTAGGTCTAACCAAGCTTTTAAACAACAATATCTCACTAGTAATCCTTCACAGTAGTTTAACAGCACAACATTCCAACAAAGCTGACCATGTGGGTCAAACAGCACACCATCAACTGCAGGCAGATCAGGAAGTCTCTTATATGCCACCCAGCAGCTGATTTCTGGATGAGTCGCAGCTGGTCCCGGGTGATTGTTGGATGATTCCCAGCTTGTCCCAGGTGATGGGCGGTGGAACCAGGAACAAAGCCAATTGAATCCCCTGGGCTGCAGGCTGAAGAATCTTGAGAGCTGGGCTGTACACTCAGATAAAACAAAACAACTAAGTACAGCAACTTTTCTAGAGGCATGAAACCAGGGATCGTAACAGATCTTTACTGGGTTGTTAAATCCTGGATGGATTAGTCAGATTCCGAGATGACAGAGAGGCAGTGGGTTGAAGAGACATGATCAATCTTTCCCTCCAGCATTTACTGAAAGTTTCCAGCAGATCAGCATGACCCTCAGGTTTGATGACCATCTGAGCAGTTTAGTACTCCAGATGGACCAGATGGCTGTCATCAGGGGTTTGGAGGGCTTGAGGAGAATGATCTGCAGCTCCTGCTTTAGTGACTGAACTCTCCCTCACTCACTTTTATGTTTTACATTATTAAAAGTCAGATGACACACAAAATCATTAAAGGCAAAGATAATCTATCGTGTTTATTCTATCAAAGCCAGGTTTCATACATGTTTTTAAAAAATCCTCTGCATTCCCACAACAACGGCGGTCATTCAGTTTAGTGATTTCAAACCTATACAGTTAAGTCACATGCCAACGTGTACTCAGACATCACCACTAACTTGCAACATACACACAGTATACATATACATTCATGTAGTATTTGCTACTCAGAACCATCACATACAACATTCAGAGAAGCACAAAACAGGAGAGCGCTCAGAGCTCCAACACGGACTGAGACGGGTCAAGTCAACATTTTGCACCAAGTGTTCGTGAACTCCTTCACAAAAAGCTACTTGCAGAACTCCAGTGTAAAGAAAAACAGAGAAAATACCAAGATTGCGTTTTATTTTCTGTGATAATTTGTTTACAAAAAGTTTATGTAGTTGTGCAAAAGTTTCAGTGAGACAGCAATAATTTTAGCAGATGAGTTATATAAGAAATACTGAGATGATGGGGATGTTTTTATAGGACAATTAGAAATTATGCATTAAAATGCTTATTTAATATTAACTTGCATCAATTTCTTTACAAAACTCATTGTTTTGTATTTATTTAACAACAGTTTTAAGCTCTGTAGAATATTATAAGCAATAAATCACATTATAAAGACATTTAGGCAAAACAATCAACCTAGAAAACGTACACTTTTTAAATTACATAATAGCTCATAAAAATTCCTCTCCAGCTTCAGTATCGTGCTGTGACTTTCAGTTAATTTTTTTTAGATTTGTTAGTAAATCTGACTAGATTAACTAGGTTAACAAAAATGCTAAAATGTAGCTCCCATATTAGCCTTGTTTGTGTTTTCTACAGAGCTTAAATTAGTTTATTTTGTGTAATAACTTAACCGTGCATCTGCCAACTACCCAGATAGGAAAGTCACCAATGGCTGCCCATGTTGTTTGAAAGTCGTTAAATGATGTCATCATGAAAAATACGTAAAAGGCCACGTGTATTTAATTACCATAGATGCGGTCTAACAGCATAATAATGTTGTGGGAAAACCAAACAGGAATAAAATCACCCTACCTTTGTTTAGAAGTAGCAGCTCATCGCGTGGTTCATTTGGTGTACATGCCTGCATTTGTCCTTAACTTGTGCTCAGTATACAAATGTCACATGACTGGTTGCTGCTTTGCTTCATTAGGAGAAAAATGATTTACAACATTGTTGAAAAGTAGAAATCCAGATAAAGAACCAAAGGCCAGTAGGTCTACTTGTATCACTAATCGATGTGCACGTTGATAACAGCCAAGCATTTAGGGACAGAAGGACAAACCAGACAGGCAAACCAGAAACTAATGAGCTCAATAGTTGCTGCCAAACATCGGCTTCATGCAGCTCAAAGCTGGTGGTATTTTAACCAGATGTTGCCTGGACAGAACTTCAACATGTAAAACAGTCTCTAAGCATCCTTAAGCATTGTAAACATATACAGTGTTGGAAAAAAGTATTTAGCCTCTTGCAGATTTATTGTTTTTTTTTTCATTGTGTTTCAGATCAGCACACATTTTTCATTACCAGACTAAGATAACCTGAGTAAATAAAAATGACAATTTTCAAAAGTTGACTTAAGTTATTAAGGAACAAAACTTTCTGAACCAGCATGATTTTTGTCAATAAGTAATTGTTCCCCTGATTAATACGGCTGAATTAAAACAAGTACAGCAGCCCAAAAATCCTCCACAGTGAGACTCATTACCAGTTATCAAAAATGTTTGAGTGCAGTTGTGCCAAGTGGGTTACAATTAGTTATTAAGTTCAGGGGTCTGTACCTTTTTTTTAGTATAGGAGAAAGCTGGAATCATCATTTAATAGCTGACAGAACAAATCAATAAGAGGGCAAATCCTTTTCATCATCACTACGAGGGTTGTAAGACAGCCAGGATGGGTGAAAACCTAAAAGAGAGATTCCACATCCAACAGGCAACCACCAATCAACACAATCTGTATATGAAATAAATTGTCTGAAATCAAATCGTATCCTCAATGCAGTCCCTCTCTTCCAGCTTTGGTATATTTAAAATACATGGGTAATTAACAGCACAGGTGGTGTTTACACTAACGCGAGGAGAAGAGGAAGAGCAGCAGCGCTGACCAGATCCTGCCTCTCTCTTTTTAACCTCAGTTGGATTCAATACTAATGAAGCAATATGGACTAGTAGTGATTACAATACAGTACCAGTTATATGCAGTGACACTGATATGCCCATAAATCATGCAACGGTGAAATGCAAGCAGCCTTTAAACATAAATTCCATACATGAAATCACAGTTTATTGTGTTGATGAAAGAGGATCAGCATGCCTGCCTTTGCTTTGGAGATCCCAGAAAGCATTGTTTTATTTCTCTCAACGGTAAGAGTTCAGTAACATCACTTTGCTCCCTCGAATGAGTCACGTCATCCTCTGTGTTCCTCAACAGGTTCCTTATTTTAGCTTCGGTAAATGGAAACATAACAGGAAGCAACTTTCTGCACCGGAGACGCTCATTTGTGCATTTTGTTTGGAATGTGTGAGTCTGATCCACTGAGGTCTATAGCTGATTTGTGATGGGTAACCAACAATAGTCATTTCACCTTTTTCCACAGTCTCACTGAAGAAAAAAGAGTATATAGTCCTTCTCCAGATGAGACAGAAGAAGTATTGAGATCCTCACTGCTCCACCTGAAGGCTCTCAGTCTTGCTACCAGCTGCTTTAAAGCTTTTCACCTCTTCGAATACCAACTCTGTGGACACAAAGGGGGGACACATAAGAGAAATGTTAACAAGTCCTGAGAAATGTTTATGAAAAGCTGGAGAAATAAAGAAATTGTGAATTTTGTAAACCACCATACAAATCTAACACCTTGAAAATACCAAACAGTACAGTGCATGATCACTTTTATTTGTGTTTTTAAGAAACAAAAATGTGCCGATGGAATATTATGTTGAGTAGCTGTTGACCTGCAATGACCTGCACTTGTATAGCACCTTTCAGAGTCAGAGAACACAAAAGAGCTTTAACTACAGTGTTCCATTCATCCATTCACACACACAAACACTGGTGATGAGCTACAATGTAGCCACAGCTGCCCTGGGGTACAATGAAGGCAAGGCTTCTCAGCACAGGTGCTGCTGATCCCTCTGACCACCACCAGCAGGCAAGGGGGTTGAGGGTCTTGCCGAAGGACACAAGAGCAGCTATCTCTGCTGGGAGCTGGGATTGATCCTACAAGCTTCTGAATACTGAACAACTTGCTCTACCTTCTGAGGTACTGCTGCCCCAGTATGCTTTTCTACAGTTGAATGAAGAAAAGACTGAGAACCTCATCTGTGCCCCAGACAAGCTGGTTCCCAAAGTCGGAGACTCTCTTGGTCTTGGCTTCTCACACCAAACTTTCCATCAGGAATCTTGGTGTGAGCTTTGACCCAGCTCTCACCCTGGATTCTCAGGTCAGTTCTCTTGTTCGCTCTTCCTTCTTCCATCTCAGGAACATTGCTAAGCTGAGTCCCATTTTGTCCCGCTCTGAACTTGAGACAGTTATCCACACCTTCATCTCCTCATGCTTAGACTACTGTAACTCTCTTTTCACGTGTCTGAGCAGAACCTCCCTGAACCGTCTACAGGTGGTTCAGAATGCCTGTGCTCGTCTTCTGACCAAGTCCTCCAAACACACCCACATCACCCCGCTTCTCCTCCAGCTTCACTGGCTGCCAGTCAACTTCAGGGTTCATTTCAAGATCCTGGTTCTGGTCTATAGGGCCTTACATGGACAAGTACCATCTTACATTGGTGATCTTCTTAGTCCCTACACCTCCAGCAGGTCCCTGAGGTCCAGTGATCAAAGCCTACTGGTTGTGCAGCACCAGGCTAAAGACCAAAGGTGACAGATCATTTGCTGCTGTGGCCCCCAGACTCTGGACCTCTCTCCCCCTGAGCCTGAGATCAGTGGACTCAGTGGTCTCCTTTAAAAAGCAGCTGAAAACTTACTTGTTCAAGCTGGCTTTTGTATGACCTTCTTCACCACTCTCTCTTTACTCTGCTCTCCCCACCTATTCCACCTGCCTCAGGATCCACTGATTTCCCTCTTTCCTGTTCACTCTCTCTCTTTCTTAACATTTTTTTAATTACAATTGTCTATTTTTTGCTCCTTTTCAATATATTGTTAACCGTTTTCTAAATTATTTTTTATATTTTTACATTTTTTGTTTTTGTGAAGCGCCTCGTGATTTTTAACTTGAGAGGCACTACAGAAATTATATTTTCTTCTTCTTCTTTTGTGTCACACGCATCAAGTTTCCATTGTGACAGATCACATAAAGTGAGAGTGAGCCGTTGCATAACACGGATAGAGGAATAAATAGAGCTACTAGATTATAAACAAATCATAATCACTATTCACTTTGGTCAATATTGAAATATTGATTATTTAATTACTCTCGGAGTTGGGAAACATAATTTCTTCCTTTCAAGTGAAAAATATATATCACACTGTGGAGCGGCTCATTAAAATAACGGATCAAGTGATTCTTCAAGCGCACAGGAAGTGTCACTCCACAGGGCGAACTGAATGGTAGCTACGTTTCGTAACACACACACACACACACACACACACACACACACACACACACACACACACACACACACACACACACACACACACACACACACACACACACACACACACACACACACACACATTATTACAGATTACTGTTGGATAAAACCTATGACTGTATAGAGAAAAAGACCAAAATAACCTTATCACACTAGAATAAAATATAAACAATGATAAAAGCTGAGTAGAGCTATATGGAAAAAGCTCAGAGATGTAAGTATTTCAAACAAAATGTTTTTTTATTTATTTTTGGTTTAGGAGAGGTGATAGGAGTAGTATGGATAATATTTCTGCATTCTATAGAAGCAAGGATAACTTGTGAAAACAATGGAGGTATATTTTGTCTTTGCTGCCTGTTTTTTTTATTCAGCTGATCTTTAATAGTAATAACTTTTTTAAAAATGCACCACAGGATGTATGTGAGTTTAGCCTTTGGATGGGGTGGAAGTGTGTGTCATTTGGAATGCAGTTCAAAATAAGAGTGTGCTTCTGAAGCAGAATATGAAGAAATTATTTCTATTATATTCATTTTTAGACAATATCATTGTATTAGGATGGTTTCGTCACTATCGGATTTTAAATCATTTTTAAAGACTCATCTGTTCTCAGTTGCTTTTAATTCAGTTTGAGAATGCATCTGTTTTTAGTAGTTTATATGTCAGTTTGATATGTTAGTTTTTATCATGTTTTTACTTTGTGATGAACTTTTTATCTTATTTTTAGAATTTTTAGGGAACATCTGTTATTTTTGGCTTGTTAAGCCCTTTGGTCAGCTTTTATGCTGTTGTAAAGTGCTCTATAAATAAAGTTTACTTGACTTGACTAGTGATGTTTTTCTTTTTTCAAAGGGGTTTTGAAATTAATAGTTTGACAGCCACTGAGTAGTTGGATTTTTCTGACAATAATTTCAACTTAAATTGGACATGCTGAAGCCTGGAAATGTTGTCACTTTGCTTTCACTTCCTTTTCTGAACAGAAACCCGTGATTTTGCGAAAGACCAAAAAGGAGGATGTTGCACAAACTGATTTCATAATATCCCATTTTACCAATAAGGACAATATTCCAACGTGATCTTTTCTGCTTTAAAACCGAGTTTTTAAAAATCAAATCTCACAGAACAACCAGTGTTTACCTTTCCATTCTTCTAGAGTTCGATCTTTGCTCTCCAGCGTCTGGTCATAAGGCATGGCCTCTGGCTCGTCATCAGGATCGTGGTATTGTGAGAAGTAGGGGTGGGACAAAGCCTCGTTGGCTGAAATCCTTTCATCACAGTCCAGAACCAACATGCGTTTCAAGAGATCAACAGCTGACAGGGAGACAGAACCAAGCAGACGGATGGAGAAAAAAAAGGAGTTACCGGTAAATCCCAGAAGCTGAAACCTCTAAATTCAATTCAAATGTCCTTTTCTAAAAAGGCAGCTTTGGTCTAAGCGATATTGGATCACCAACCTAGTGGGTTTGCTCCTTTAAAGATCTTTTCCATGTCTTGAGGAGGCATGAAGGGAAGGGACTGGATGTATTTCTGAGCCTGCAAATACAGACCACCATTCAGCTTGTTGATCACAAGATGCTAGTAATCAATTACCCTCATCATGTACACGCATTGGCAATTCAATCAACAGCTGTGTCACAGTAATGACTAATCAATCATTTCATTCATTTCCCAGTTCCTTATTTTCTCTCACATGTTCTGAGCAGATCTTCTTTAGCAGCTGTGGTGTTGGAGTCCCAACCACTTCCATGATTCTCTTCAGCTGGTCAATATCTTAGAGCAGGAGGATTTAAGGTTCATCAAGCCGACAAAAGCAATGACCCAAGCTGCACCTGAGCACTGATGGCTATTAGCTTCTGAATAAAACTTTTCTGATTGTAGTCAAAGGTCCTGCTAATTGAAAAAGAAATGCAATTTGTGTTGAACGATGATGATAAAGGATACAGTCCGTGCCAGGAAAAAGCACTTTTCCCTTCAGTAGTTCTCCCATAATGCACCCCACTGACCAAATATCAACTGGAACAGAAAGGAAATCACTTTAAACAAATATTTTAGTAGCTTCTTAAATTATGGAAAACATTTTTTAACATTTCACCATTCTGGTTGTAGTGCATCCAGTTCAGCATGATCTCTGGAGCTCTATACCAACGAGTTGCTACATAGCCAGTCATTTCATCATCCGTCTGTCTGGCTAGTCCAAAATCAAGAATCTGTTGGGAAAAGGAGAAGTTTTGTGAGTCATGGGGTGGATTTGTGACATTAAACAAATAGTGGTCCTACCCTCAGCTCACAGTCTTCATTTACAGCCACATTACTTGGCTTGAGATCCTGGAAGGGATATAAAAACACATTGTATGAAACATAAAAATGTGTTAAATAGCAATTCCTTTGAGTCTTTTCTCAAAATGAAAGTTGCAAAACTTCCATCCAACCTTAAAGTCAAGATAAGAAGACAGAACAGATTCATCTCTGAGACTGGTATGCTCCAACCCTTAAGCAGTCCTCTGTACTTTGTTGGCTTCAGTATAATTTTAAGTATTTATTATTGACTTTAAGTGAGTTATTTGTCAGGCTGTCCTGACTAACACAATTCTATCCAACATCATGCTGTTGAATGAAAACAAATCTGAATGAACTAATTCAAGAAAATGGCTTAGAGGTGTCCAAACCAATATTTATGCAGTAGTGCAAGGGTAATGGTGCTTTATGGAAGTTGGAACTCACTCTGTGGATCAGTCCGGCTGAATGGATGTACTATTGAAGAGGTTATGGGGTGGGGCAGGGGGACAAGGGGAGGAGAGGAAAGAAGACAAAAATAAAGGAGACAGAGGTCAAGAGAGCAGTTCACCACATTAGCCCCTGCTTTAAGCAACACTGCTTTGTTTTGCTCCATGGTAACCGATCTGACCAGACAGCTAGTTTCAGGGAGCAGCTGGACCTAATTGCTAACTTTCAAACGAAATCTGATCAGAAATGCATTTGCTTTACTTCTCACTGTTTGATCAGTATTATTGACTGAAATGACGGAGTTTACCTTGAGGCCACGGAGAAGCTGATAAATTAAAAACTGCACATGCTCGTCTGACAACCTCTGAAACTTTACGATGTTATTAAGATCTGCACCCATCAAATTGGTCACCAGGTAGCTAAAAGACAAAACAAGAAAGAAAAAGGTGGTGATGGGGGGGGTGGGGGGGTCCAGTTATAAAAGAACAGGCGACAGTGCCATGGCAACCATCAGACATCTCTACAAGCCTTTAATCTCTCTTGAGTGACCCTCCTCCCTTCCCAAATCCATTTGTGTGCCCCAAAATACCAGAGTTATCTATTTCTGGTGTGATGGTGCAGAGGTTGTAGTAAACTATTTACAGTTCGTTGAAGGCTTCTAACGTTGCTGCAGGTGTGAAGACATCCAGCAACCCTATTACCTGTGGAGACAGAAAAATGCAGTGTTGATAAATAAACAAAATTAATCTTTTATTCTTTTTATTTGTGTTTGAGGAGCACCAACATTTTCATGTTTCATGTGCTTCAGAAGCCGAAGTTCCCGGTAGGAGCGGCGGCTGTGGATGAGAGACTGAAAAGGTCTGGACAGCTTCTTCACGGCAACCTTCTGTCTTAAGACAACATCATAGGCTGAACTGAAACGAGAAAACCAAGATCTGATCAAGCCTTAGAAGACAGCAAAGAACTGGAAGGACGATGTATCGTAAAAGTCTATTTATTTCTGCATCATCTGAAATGTCATTCTGCACATTGAATGCTGAACCCTGCTGCATTTGTGAAGTCATTATTGTTTTTTTGGGTTTTTCTTTTTTGCCCAAGCCTGCCAGCTTGAAAGCATTTCACAGAGCAAGAACACTAATCCAGCGGTACAGGAAACTGCAGGATCTAGGACTGAGCAGCTCCCTCTGCAGCTGGATCCTTAATTTTCTGTCTGACAGACGCCAGGTGGTCAGACTGGGCAGCACCACCTTATCCCCCGTCACACTGAACACTGGTGCTCCGCAGGGGTGTGCGCTGAGCCCGCTCCTGTACTCACTCTACACCCACGACTGCACGGCCACAAGAAACTCCAACATCATTGTGAAGTTTGTGGACAACACCACAGTGGTAGGTCTCATCACCAACGATGATGAGACGGCCTACAGGGAGGAGTGTCAGGTACTGGGTTTGTGGGTTCATATTTCTTCTTCACAGGTTGTTGGAGGGCTAGGGAGACTCTTAAGGAGACTTCATCCAGCTAATTACCTCGGCTGCAGAGTCACCCTGCTCACCTGCAGCCCATCATGTAATTAGACGGGAGGAATAAAGGAGCCAGTGAACCAGCCACTCAGCGCCAGATTGTTTGCCTTAGTGGTAACGTCCAGCCACCTGAATCTGTTCCTGTTATCTGATCTTATTCTAGTCTGTTCCCTGAAACCTCTGTCTGTCATCACAGGATTCCTAGAACCCGTTCCGGATTACACCTTTGTGTGGAAGTCTCATACCAGCCTCTGCAGCTCCCGGATCTCCTGAACCACGGCTGAATCCTCCCTGGCTCTGTTCTCCTCCCGTGCGTCTCCTGTTCACCCTCCAACAACCCGCCTCACTGCTCCGAACCTCCACATCTACCCACAGCCCCGGTACCGGCTCACCTCTCCCACGCTCCGCTACAACCAAATCTCTTGATCCAATCTCTAGCTCCGGAACCAGCCCATCCCTGCCTCCGCTCTCCTCTAATAAACTTTTTTACTACATCTCCTGGTCTCTTGAGAGTTATCTTGTATGTGGGTCAAATATCTAAATAGAGAAAAAACCATGACAAGGAGATCAGCGCCCTGACCCACTGGTGTCAGGACAACCGTCTCACCCTCAACGGCGCAAAGACAAAGGAGATGATAATGGACTTCCGGAGGTGCAGAGGAATACACACCCCCATCACCATCAACGGCGATGCTGTGGAGAGGGTGAGCAGCTTCCGTTTCCTTGGAGTTCATCTGGCAGAGGATCTTATGTGGTCAGTGCACACGAACAATACAGTGAAGAAGGCACAGCAGTGCCTCTTCTTTCTCAGGAGACTGAAAAGATTTGGCATGAGCCACCGCATCCTCAGGACCTTCTATCGCTGTGCCATTGAGGGCATCCTCACTGGATGCATCTCCACCTGGTATGGCAACAGCACCGCTTACAACCGCAAAGCTCTCCAGAGAGTAGTGCGGTGTGCAGAAAGGACTATTGGAGGTGAGCTTCCCTCCCTCCAAGACATCTACAGGAAGCGGTGCCTGAGGAAAGCGGGGAGGATCATCAAGGACTCAAGTCACCCCAGCCATAAACTGTTCAGACTACTTCCATCAGGAAGGAGGTTCTGCAGCATCCGGTCCAGAACCAGCAGACTGAGAGACAGCTTTTTCCATCGGGCCATCAGACTGCTGAACACTTCACAGACACCTCACCCTCACTACTGAAACTGCAACATTACACACTCCATACTATACATTAATGCCACTGTTTTGCACATACCAGCCTCTGTATATTTTATTTCTCTTATGTTATTGTTTACTTTATTCATTTGTAAAACATGTATATACACACTATACACACACTCACACGCACACACGTAGAAAAAAATAAAATAAAATACTAGCACACACATTTAGTAATGTATATACCTTACATACATATTATTACTTAGATTAGCCATTTTTATATTTTGCTTGTTTTTACGTTATTGTATTTTTGCATAATTGTTGCTGTGAAGCTCGCACACAAGAATTTCACTCGTATGTACTGTACCAGTGTACCTGCACATGTGACGTGACAATAAAAGTGATTTGATTTGATTTGAAAGCGGACCAAACGAAACAGGAAGTAGGAATGAGTGAAAACAGTCGCTGCCAAGAACTGAAGATATTCAACTTAAACGTGAAAAAGTGACTAGATTACATAAATCCTGCAACTTTTATTATATAACATGACCTAAAACACTTTTTAAAATTAAATAACCTCAAATACAAAATTTACTGTATTGTATAAATCTGAGGAGACCTTTAATGTCTTCCTGCTTGAAAGACCCCCACCCCTCCACAGCTGCATTCATCTACAAGTCTTAAAATGACCTGCTGTCCGGATGTCCACACTGAGATCCAATTGGGAGGACAGTCCCCTCCATCTGACATTAACCAGATCTCTGCCTCACACTCTAACCCTGCCAGCTACCTAACATGAGACTGATCAAAATGCTAGGCACGCACTTCCTGAAGAAGGCGTAGATTTTTCAGTCTCAGAGTTGGGTTAAAATCAAGATGTTATCAGATTGAAAATGAAGATGTGGAGGGAAAAACAACAAATTTTGTAAAAGCATGAACACACACCACACCTAAGGACAATTTAGACAGAGCAATCAAACTGACAGTCATGCTTTTGGACTGTGAAAGAAACACAGAATACCCAGACAGTACCCCCACATCAAATCAATCAAAATAAATTAATAAATGAATAAAAATGTACATGGAGAGCATGCAAACTCCTTGCAGTAAGACCCCAGGCCAGGATTTGAACCCAGGAACTAATTTCATAAGGAAATAGTGCTAACCATCGCATTAATGTGCAGGAAGAAAATCTTTGACCTAATTGTAAATTTAATCTAAATCCCAAAAGAGTACTGATTGCAAACCAACATTGTTCAGAATAGCTGACAAGTCCAGTGTGCTGAGTTCAGGTCACAGTCTCTTCTGGAGGTGTGGGATTAAATCTTATATCTGACATTCTGTTCACTGTTTCTAAACATAGTTACAGTAAACAATCAAAGCACATTTTCTGAATTTAGTGAAAGAATGGCTCTATTGTTTATGGTCACAAGTTGCTCCAAATCCTTAGGTTTAAAATATTAAGCAAGGCAAATCTGTCAACGTTTACAATCGTCTTACAAATTATTCTCTACCTCCACTGAGAACAGGTTTTAACGATCAACAAAGTACATTGTGATGACAATGAACTTGACAGTCAGAATGGCCGAGCGGTCCAAGGCGCTGCGTTTAGGTCGCAGTCTCTCCTGGAGGCGTGGGTTCGAATCCCACTTCTGACATCTGATCATCAAAAGATATTTTCTGATTATGGTGAAAGAATGGCTCAAACGTTTAGGGTCACAATTTGCTATGAATCCGTAATTTAAAAAACTTAAGCAAGGCAAATCTGTCAACGTTTACAATCGTCTTATAAATTATTCTGTACCTCTACTGAGAACAGGTTTTAATGACGAACAAAGTACATTGTAATAACAATGAACTTGAGAGTCAGAATGGCCGAGCGGTCCAAGTCGCTGCGTTCAGGTCGCAGTCTCTTCTGGAGGCATGGGTTCGAATCCCACTTCTGACATCTGTTCATCAAAAGATATTTTCTGATTATAGTGAAAGAATGGCTCTATCGTTTAGGGTCACAATTTGCTACAAATCAGTATTTTTAAAATCTTAAGCAAGGCAAATCTGTGAAAGTTTACGATCGTCTTGCAAATTATTCAGTACTTCTACTCAGAACACGTTTTAACGATCAACAAAGTACATTGTAATAACAATGAACTTGAGAATCAGAATGGCCGAGCGGTCCAAGGCGCTGCGTTCAGGTCGCAGTCTCTTCTGGAGGCGTGAGTTCGAATCTCACTTCTGACATCCGTTCATCAAATGACCTATTATGATTACAGTGAAAGAATGGCTCTATCGTTCAGGGTCACAATTTGATACAAATCCGTATTTTAAAAATCTTAAGCAAGGCAAATCTGTGAATGTTTACGATTGTCTTATAGATTTTTCTGTACCCGTACTGAGAACAGGTTTTAATGACGAACAAAGAACATTGTAATAACAGTGAACTTGACAGTCAGAATGGCCGAGTGGTCCAAGGCGCTGCGTTCAGGTCGCAGCCTCTTCTGTAGACGTGGGTTCGAATCCCACTTCTGACATCTGTTCATCAAAAGACATATTCTGATTATAGTGAATGAATGTCTCTAACGTTTAGGGTCACAATTTGCTTTGAATCCGTAGTTTAAAAATCTTAAACAAGGCAAATTTGTGAACGTTTACGATCGTCTCACAAATTATTCTGTACCTCTACTGACAACAGGTTTTAACGATCAACAAAGAACATTGTAATAACGATGAACTTAACAGTCAGAATGGCCGAGCGGTCCAAGGCGCTGCGTTCAGGTCGCAGTCTCTTCTGGAGGCGTGGGTTCGAATCCCACTTCTGACATCTGTTCATCAAAAGACATATTCTGATTATACTGAAAGAATGGCTCTATCGTTTAGGGTCACACTTTGCTACGAATCTGTAGTTTAAAAATCTTTAGCAAGGCAAATCTGTGAAAGTTTACGATCGTCTTAGAAATTATTATGTACCTCTACTGAGAACAGGTTTTAACGATCAACAAAGTACATTGTAATAACAAGGAACTTGACAGTCAGAATGGCCGAGCGGTCCAAGGCGCTGCGTTCAGGTCGCAGTCTCTTCTGGAGGCATGGGTTCGAATCCCACTTTTAACATCTGTTCATCAAAGGACGTTTTCTGATTATAGTGAAAGAATGGCTCTATCGTTAAGGGTCACAATTTGCTACAAATCCATAGTTTAAAAATCTTAAGCAAGGCAAATCTGTGAACGTTTACAATCGTTTTACAAATTATTCTGTACTTCTACTGGGAACAGGTTTAATGACGAACAAAGTACATTGTAATAACAATGAATTTTCAGAGTCAGAATGGCCGAGCGGTCCAAGGTGCTGCGTTCAGGTCGCAGTCTCTTCTGGAGGCGTGGGTTCGAATCCCACTTCTGACATCTGTTCATCAAAGGACGATTTCTGATTATAGTGAAACAATGGCTCTATCGTTTAGGGTCACAATTTGCTACAAATCCATAGTTTAAAAATCTTAAGCAAGGCAAATCTGTGAACGTTTACGATTGTCTTACAAATTATTCTGTACCTCTACTGAGAACAGGTTTTAATGATCAACAAAGTACATTGTAATAACAATACACTTGACATTCAGAATGGCCGAGCGGTCCAAGGCGCTGCGTTCAGGTCGCAGTCTCTTCTGGAGGCGTGGGTTCGAATCCCACTTCTGACATCTGTTCATCAAAGGATATTTTCTGATTATAGTGAAAGAATGGCTCTATCGTTTAGGGTCACAATTTGCTACAAATCAGAATTTTTAAAATCTTAAGCAAGGCAAATCTGTAAAAGTTTACGATCGTCTTACAAATTATTATGTACTTCTACTCAGAACACGTTTTAACGATCAACAAAGTACATTGTAATAACAATGAACTTGAGAGTCAGAATGGCCGAGCGGTCCAAGGCGCTGCGTTCAGGTCGCAGTCTCTTCTGGAGGCGTGGGTTCGAATCCCATTTCTGACATCTGTTCATCAAAAGACCTACTCTGATTACAGTGAAAGAATGGCTCTGTTGTATAGGGTCACAATTTGATACGAATCCATACTTTAAAAATCTTAAGGAAGGCAAATCTGTGAATGTTTACGATTGTCTTGCAAATTTTTCTGTACCTCAACTGAGAACAGGTTTTAATGACGAACAAAGTACATTGTAATAATAGTGAACTTGACAGTCAGAATGGCCGAGCGGTCCAAGGCGCTGCGTTCAGGTCGCAGTCTGTTCTGGAGGCGTGGGTTCAAATCCCACTTCTGACATCTGTTCATCAAAAGACATATTCTGCTTATAGTGAAAGAATGGCTTTATCACTTAGGGTCACAATTTGCTATGAATCAGTAGTTTAAAAATTTTAAACAAGGCAAATTTGTGAACGTTTACGATCATCTTACAAATTATTCTTTACCTCTACTGAGAACAGGTTTTAACGATCAACAAAGTACATTGTAATAACAATGAATTTGACAGTCAGAATGGCCGAGCAGTCCAAGGCGCTGCGTTCAGGTCGCAGTCTCTTCTGGAGGCGTAGGTTCGAATCAAACTTCTGACATCTGTTCA